CAAAAATGATCGGGAAATATCTTGAATTGATTGAAATCGGACTTGTATACTAGTGAATCACGACTAAATAGTGTAGAGGTTAAGAGTCCACTTGGAAGACTGACAGTTCTGTGTTCGATTCCCGGTTGCAGGATCGTAGATGAGAACTATCAACTTTGATAATAGAATTCGTCAGAATTCCTACTGCCACTTTGTTGAATGGATAGTCATTTATTTCTACAAAGTGAGTAGTATGTATAATGAGCTTAATTTCTATATGATTTCAAATTAGGGTAGAAGAAAGGAAAAACTGGTGTTTTTCATCTGAACTAGAAATCTGGGTTAAATAAAGTTCTCAGCTGAAGTGTTGGTAACCTTAATAAATTTAATAAACTTCATTGCTTTATCGATTTAGCCAACTCGATAACTGCATCAGAGAAATCACGTTAGTATTAATGTTTAATTTATTTGACATTAGTTACTACCTAGTGATATACTAATGAGAGGAGTGTACTAGAGTTACAATAATGTGGATTAATTTATACCAATGACCTTAGTGAATTGTGTACATTAAATGAACCTAAGCTAAATAATACGATTACTATTTGAATTATTGTTTGTGGTCTATAGATTAAGCGTTCTACTCGAAACTTGAAAATTCGAGGTTAGATCCCTTGTGGTAGGTTCATGGATGAGGAGTTCTATTTTAAAACAAAATGAAAATCCAATGCTTTCTAGTTTTCGAAAGTTGTCTGACGAAGATCGATCTAGGATGTTAACCATTAGATGATTATGAATACAGTGATCTCAAATGCTGTTAAAGGTATGAGGGCAGTTATCATTTCCCGATTGTCCATTAGATGATGAGAGTAAATAATCAATTATTTTTCAAAAATTTATAAATTTAAAATTAGAGGTCATATATAACTTAATGTTTCGGTTTAAATATAAAGGATTATAATGCTTAATTAGAGAGCATTATCTATTCTTATGAGGCCTAAAATATCCTGGTACGAAAGACGATCAAAGAAAGTTCACTCTCTCACTCGAAATTTTATCATATGTTCATGTCGTGGATACTCACTGATGAGGAGTCCTACAATAGGACGAAACGGCCGTCCAGTGCTCCCAGGTTTTCCATTGTTGTCTAGCTTCAACTGATTCATGATCTTAACTAAGGAAATCACTATAATATCCCCCAAACCTATCTGATATGTCCATGTGTTTATAGTTTTGTCATAGAAATTCTACTCACTGACTTCCCAATATAGGGATATTACTTGAGAAAATAAGAAGATGAAAACTGAACTGGTTTATTAGATACAAAGGGTTCACCTAGAAGATAAAGGAACGATAATTACAAATCACCAGTATACATGAGCTCTACTATCTTGTGGGGATGAATGAAATGACTTCTGATCATCAGTTAATTATGGGATTGCATCCACTGATGTTACTTCATTGAATAATAACTTTTTTTTAACAAAATTAAGAAAAGAAGTAAACTGAAGTGAACAAATCATTATCAGACAAACTGTAGTCGTACAAAATAGAAATAAATAAACAAACAAACAAGTTTCAACGAGAATACAAACCATTTCTCCCCTTTTGTTTTTCAATTAACTTCTCTTTTCTTTTGTCCACATTGCTTATCATCCGTTATGCCAGCTTAACTTATATATTTATATTCTATGAATAATACACGACAATAAATACAGATAACACTATTATTGAAGAAAAAAAATTATCAATGATGTGTTTTCTTTTTTTTTCTTTTTTTCTCCTATGGGCTTCTTTTGTGTTATACTCATTTCTTTCTTTCCTTTTCTTTTTTCTTTTTTCCTTTCAATTTATTGTCTTCTGTCTGATATACACAATAAACAACAAAAAATAGAGAAGAAATCAAACTGAAAATTCAATTTGATCCAGACAGAATATAAGAATGATTTATATTTGAAAGGTGTGTTATGTGTGGTGTGTGTGTGTGTGTGCGCGCGCGTGAAAGAGAAAAAGGGGGGAGAGGAGGGAGAGGGCGAGAGAAAGGGGGGAAGAGAGAGGTGACTATGAGCACAACTCAATCATTTGATTAAATTCATAGACATCTGTTCATGAATTTACTACCATGTCTTAAATTATTATTATTATTATTATTTTTTATGGTAACCTAATAAGTAACAAAATATAAAAAAAGTTTGATATACATAGAGAATAAAACTTTTAAAATATTCAAGTCAAATGAAGATGAGTGAAGTATGGTTAAAGTGTAGTTAACCATTGTATACATATATTTGAATGTATGTTAAGTGAATGGAAGGATGAGGTTAGCCTCAAGTCATCACTGGTCAATATAAAACACATGTCAATTTTGATTTAGAATATATATATATATATTGTATAGAAAATTTGATCGGAATAGATTTAAAGTCATTTTGTTACTTTTGTTCTACCGTAAGAAATTGACTGATAACAAATTCACTTGATATTGTTTACTTGAATCTTATCAATGATGTTTTGGACTTTCATTAATCCATCTCTTATTGGTATATGTGTACCCTGTAAGGATTGCCTTGATATTGCCTTCATTCACAAACGTTATAAGCAAAGATGAATGTTGACTAGTAATGGAATCCAGGATGTGTGTTACGTCCTATTTGGGACGAGTCAGTTGGATACATCTGCATCTCAGAGTTAAAGTTGACGTGATGGCATTTAAAGCTAGTGACACTGAGTTCAAGTCTCAGAGTGGATATCAATTTCGTGATGCCGGTACATCCAGCTGACAAGTCTGAAGTAGGAAGAAACGTGCGTCCCGAATTCCACTGCTAGCCACTATCGATCTCTGTTTATAAAGCTTGTCAATTAAGGCAATATTGAGGCACTACTCACAGTATGCATATATGCCAATAAGAGAATGACCAATTGCAGTGCAAAACATCAATGGGAAGATTCAAGTAAACAATACCAAGTGAATTAAACTTCACCTTAATTGTACAAGCAAGTGGTTATCAGGACTCAGTAGCTAAGTGGATAAAGCGATGGAGTTTGATACGAACGGTACTGCGTTCGAGGTTCAGAGTGGTTATCAAATCTGAAATGCAAGTAAATTCTACTGACGTTTTCTAAATAGGACTTGACTGATTTAACTGTAACTTCTCAAACTATAGAAAGGGGTAATGCGTATTAAAAGTACACATTACTGATAATTATTTCCTATCGACTACCATCAATCACGTAACTTGATACAAGGTGTTACATAACTGAATATTTATGACTCTAATTATTTGAGGAGATTCAATGCTTCTTTAATAAGCATTATATTTATGCTACTTATAACCTCGGTCAAGAATAAATCATTGCTGAGCGGTGTTATCAACTAACTGTTTTCAATCATTAAATCTATACTATATATCTCGTATTTATCAATAGGATTGTTTAAAGTAAAGTTATTTACTAACCGTTTTAAGGAGTTCATAACTTGGTTAAACCGGGATACATACTTACAAACAGCTGTCAGTTTGTGTAAGTTGTAGATTCACTCCATTTATTTGAACTTAAATATTCATATCGACAAAATTAGTGCGATTTACAGTCTATCGAAGTTTTCTTAAAATCATAAATTGATGTTAGTTAAAAACAACCATTGGAAACATGGAAGTACTGGACAGCTGTTTTGTCCTAGCATGGGGCTTCTAGTAATAGTGTACATCGACAGCTCCACGACAGGTAATCGAACTGAGGACCTTAAGATCTCTTGAAGAACCTTTGATTATTAAATCATGAAGTCGGCATCCAATAGTTCACATTGGTTAATTTTAATCAATTCATGATATCTCGCAGCCTCACTGGGTTCAAACGTCTTTATTAGGGATTGTAGATGACCACTTGTAAGTATTCCCGTACTAGAACGAAACTGCTTTCCAATGTTTCATGATTTTCAATGATCTTCTAATACCAGTTCCTGATATAAGCTATGGAATGTTTATTTGTCAATTTGTTCTACTGAACTACATTAAATCTCATATGGTTGTATGTAATTATTAGTAGTAGAGTTTATTACCGCCAATCGTAAGAAATTCCTCTAGAGAGAGAACGAGAGAGAGAGAGACAGTTAAGTTTCTATTGACAATTCATCATTGAATTAAGGTAATCAACTATAAGTTTTATGAAAAAAGAGAACTTTTCAAAATGCAGCAATTTATCTATATATCTGTCAGTTATCTGTATTATAGTGTAGTATTTTCTAAGGGTGTTGTTTTCACTGAAATCGTAGTTCATTCATTCGAAGTCATGAATCTAATTTGTCAACTTCCTTTATCAAAATTGTTGAGTTACCAGTGGTTATTCACACTTGAGTCCTGTTGCATAGGTGAATACCTTGGTCGGATTTTTGATGAATTTCTAGATAAACCGATTCAATAATGTATTAAAAGAGAATTTTATGTAGAAATCTTTCCTACATTAAAAAAAAAATTGGATCTGTTACTTCCATTGAAGCATTCAAAACAAATCTATTCACTTCAAAGTATAAAACACCTTGAAAATCATGATCTTAAATTATAAACAATAAATAGTTGAAATCATGAATTAATCAAAGTTAGAAAACCATGAAAAACCTGGAAGCACTGAACGATCGTTTCGTTCTAGTATGGGACTCCTCAATAGTGCATATCCACGATCCCGCCCCACAAGATTCGAACAAAAGACCTATCCATCTCGCAAGCGAACGATTAACTACTTGATCACTCAGTCGGCATCCAATAGTTTTAATGTCTAATTTCAACTAATCCACGAAAGTGAGCAACACATCCATCATTGTCTCCAGTGAGTTACTATCTCATTATAGACCCAGTTGAACTCCACTGGTTATTGCTTCGCACTAGAACTCTAGGATATACCTGTTGACATCAATCATTTCATAATCTCAATTGTATTACCATCAATTCAATTGAATTATCTACAATTATTATTCATTTATTCTTTCTCTTTTTTTGTTTTTTTTTTTTTTCCTTCTTTCTTTTTAGCTAAACAATCCAATATCCAAAACAAAATGAAAAATTCAACCAATCAATTAATCAATAAAGAAATCATTAATGATAATAATATTGATTTAATAAATACTATAGAAACAAAAGATCATTTATTATATAATAATACTACATTAACATTAATGAAACAACCTAAAAAACGTGGACCTAAAAAGAAACCATTAACAAAAGAACGTGAAACACGTTTAAAAAATCGTCGTATAAGAGCTAATGCACGTGAACGTAGTCGTATGCATGGATTAAATCATGCATTAGAATTATTACGACGGCATGTACCAACCTTTTCAACAACACAACGTTTAAGTAAAATAGAAACATTACGTTTAGCTAAAAATTATATTAAAACATTATCAGACTTATTATTAATAAATAAAACTCCAACACCATTAGAGATGGCATTAAATTTAACTGAAGGTCTTTCACAGAATACAACTAATTTAATAGCAAATACATTACAAATTAATCCTAGAATATTAATACAATTACAACGTCAACAATCTTCTTCATTCCTTCATCATCATGAACAACAATCAGTCAATGAGTTAAGTAATCATAATAAATTAGATCATAATCAAACTCATTCCCTATCATTATCCTTATCTTCATCATCATCATCGTCGTCATCATCGTCATCGTCATCATCAACATTATCGGATGAGTTAAAGTGTACAGTAGTTACATCAAATGAACAAATGAAATTATTAAGTCCTACTATTAACACTACTATTACTACTACTATTATTAATCATAATAGTAGTAATAATTGTTATGAAAAAATATTGAATAATCAAAATTCTGTTATACCACATTCATGGAATATTGATTTCAATCCTGTATTAATGAATTTTCATAATAATAATAATAATAATAATAATAATAATAATCCAACTATCTTCTATCCCAATTCTATTACAGATTGGAATCAATCGAATTTGTTAATTCCATCAGTCATTTCATATAATAATTCTGATAATGTAAATGATAAAACTAATAGTCAATCTATGCATAATACTAATGCTAATATCAATGAAAATATTCATAATTACGAACATTCATTCTTACAAATGATGAATAAATCACAATTTTAAATGTATCATTAATATTATTTTCTTTTATCATTTTATTTCCTATTTTAGAATTACACTACTAATTATTTATATAAGTAGTTTAAAGTTTATGAACTAGAAAACTGTTAGAGAGGATAAAAGGGATTTATTTCCCCAGTTTTTTCTTTTTACAAAATGCCTTAGATCGTATTTTCTAAAGATTTTATTTAGAGAAATTATTGCAGAAAATATTATTTTCATATTTTAAAGAAACAAATTACAGTTTTTCTTTACTAAAGGATTAAAACTCGTATTTTTCTTAGATTCAGTTTATTTTGTTTGTACATAGAAATTATTATTACTATTACGTTTTGTACAGAATTTTTTGGTTGATGAATAGAAACTTTGATACATTTCTAAAATGATTTATTTTTGTGGGAAATATAAATTTTTTAAAATGTTTGATTTTAATTTATCCGTGTCTAAACAATAAGTTTCCCCACAAGACATCACCCCCCCCAAATGTCCTGGTATGGCCGAGAGTGGGGAGAGTCAGCTCTCCTTTTTGAAATGCTCTCAAGTGGCCACGTTCATACAACCACTAACAGGGAAGTCCTACTCACTACCTTCTGGCAACACAGGTGGCGTTTATGAAATTGAGAGGACGAAAAGCGAATGTCCGTTGCATTAACCCGGTTGGTAGATACGGAGGGTCCACCTAAGGAAGTTGGAAAACCCTGATTCCAAACCAGTGGTGCACATGGGATTCAGGATTCAAATGAGAAAAATTACATATGAATCTACTGTTGGTGACCGGCTACCATGGAAGTGCATCTCCTTATGTTGCTCCACTGCCTTGTGAGTTAGACCTTTAGGTCAAAGGATCGGTGTGTGCCCCCCAAAGAAAACCACCTGCTTCGGTTTTGGCATCCCGATATTATTCTAGCCAACACCTAAATCGAATGACTTATGTGGCGCATATCTATCTGGTGCCTGTTTGTACCAATGTTTATGTGTTTAAATAAAAAATGAAAAATAAATAGTTCAAAAAAGATATCACCCACATCTACAAAATTCAAGTTATGCGGTTCATTTATCATCTGTCGTTATACTAATAATATTGCGGATTCCCCTGGATTTATTCAGTAAATATTTACTAATATGAAACTCTTTAGCTGTATTCATTTACGATCCCCGAACCGATAGTCGAACCTACGACTTTTGATTTCGTTCATGAACTCTTAAACTGTAGACCACTGGACCGGGTTCTAGTGATGTATAAATTTAACTCCAATCAATTCACGATATTATCTAACCATATTACACTGTCTTCAGTGAGTACCTTCCTCACATTCAATACAGTTGAACACCACGGGTTGTGATTTTCCACTAGAACTCTAGGAATTTTCTCTCGAATCTAGTCATTTGTGAGCATATAACAATCAACAGTACAAGATGACATACAATCTGAGGTTTGTTCTGTTTATAAATATACTTTTTATGAAAGCGTGTTTCTTAATGCCGTTGAATCACATAGTCTAAGCGTACTAGCTACATTCGGAACAAGTGAAATGTAGTCATCAATATAAATCACTATAATAACCTCAAAAAAAAATACAGAATGAATTTGGTTAGTTAAGTAAACAACGAGTAAACCGCTAACCAACTAAACAGTCATAAGAAATGAAATCAAACATATAATTATGATAAACAGTCATCCTTATGATAAGAATAAGTATTTTTTTCTACATTGTTTAGATCTCAAACTGATTTTAGCTAGAAAAGCGTCAGAAACTAAGAAATACTGAACAATTGTTTCGTCCTAGTATGAAACTATTCAGTAGTGCTCATCCATGACTTCACCACATGGAGTTAAATCCAATCCATTGAGGTTTCGAGCTCGAACTCTAGCCATATTGATTTTCAAGTATTATTAGTCAGTAATATGAATCATAAAAATACCCCCTGTATTAATTCATTTCTGTATTGTTTGTTTTGATCTTTCCATTGATATCTAGGACCTGAGTTGATCGATTTCTTTTTGGCAATATATGCATCCTGTACAGATTGTCTAGAAATTGTCTTAAGTTACAAATACCATAAGCAGAGATGGATGATGGCTAGCGGTTGAATCCAGAAGTTCCTTTAAGTAATAGATTATTGGCTCAAAAATAAAATCATCAGTTGACTATTTCATCTCATTTTCTATTTTGATCAAAATCGAACTTATTCTATTTCGTATTATTGTGGTATATGCTACTTATATTGACAGACATAAGTAGTATGTAAAACTAATCAGAAGTGGGGTGTCTGGTAGCAGAAGATTGAGAAGATCGAACTAAAGAGAACAGGAATGTAAATAGAGAGTAATTGTGTTATATTCCAACTAGAATAATGAATGGTAACTGTTGGGATCCATTTCTGGACTAATACTATACGTATACTTTTATTGTATAACTATTAAGTAGTTAAACTGTGCATTTTCATGTTCCTCTTATTATAAGCTTTATTTTGACCCATGGACTATTAATTATAGTCTCCCACACTCACAGTCACTTTTAGATGGATCTTTTATAAATATGGGAAGTTTTGTGGATATTATAGTAATTTTAATAGTTGAGATCATGAGTGAATTAAAGCTAGACCATCATAAAAAACCTGGAAGTACTGGATGGCTATTTGGTCCTAGTATGGGACTCCTCAGTAGTGCACACCCACGACCGCACCTCACGAGGTTTGAACCCAGGATCTATCCATCTCGCATGCTAGCGCTTAACCATTAGACCACTGAACCGGCATCCAACGATGTTAATGTCTAACTTCAACCACTCCACAAAATTAAGCTACACATTCACTGTTGTCTTCGATGAGTTGCTGTTTTACAACAGACCCAGTTGAAATTCATTGGTCCCAGCTTATACAAATGTGTATTTTCTATTTCATAGTACGATGTGATCTGTTTCGTTTGTAGATAAACCTAGTATGTTTAAAATACATGACTCATATCACAGAGGCTATTATTAGTGTTCTAGACTTAATAGGTGGGGTTAGGCATGAAGAAGAACCGATAAATACTCTAGACTGCTCGTAAGGATTTTATGCTTTGTTGATCCGGTTTATAAATCACTGTTCTCAAATTGACGATATCATCACGCTATATACTGATAGGATACAAAGCCACAAGATATAACAACAAGAATGAAAGAACGATGAAATTTGTAAGAGACAATTGATGGTAGATGTACAAACGATGTATTTAAATGTCTAGTTTTCATATTTTTATGAAGAAACTTTGTAACTTTGCATTAAACGATAAACTGATTGTCCCCCACCTGAATTCTTCATTCACTACATTATAAATATACTTTTTATTATCATCATCTCATTAATTATAGCAATAACAAAAACAATAATAGTAGTATTGGTGGTAGTAGTAGTAGTGTAGTGAACAAGAACACCAATTGGAACAATCAAATGTATTTAGGTATATAATTACAGAGCATCTCAATGAAATCTGAGAACCATATATTAAGTCGTTAATTTGCAAAATATCAATCCATCATATCAAACTTGACTGTTCCTGCTGTAAGTATCAATCCACTGTCTCAGATTTCATTGTTCATGTGTTTTCATACAAATTGCATTGTGTTTCCACTCTTCCTTTCTTGACCTTCCCCCATCTTCTGCTGCCAGACATTACGTTCCTAACTCGCGTCATATACTACTTATGTCTACATAAGTAGCATACAACCACAGTAGTAGTAGTAGTAGTAATAGTAGTAGTAGTAGCAATAGTAACAGTAATAATAATAATAATAAGGAATAAAACCATCGTCATATTCATTTTGTTTCTTTAAAAATTGCTTGCCTTAGGGCTACCATCATTTATATTTTCATTATCTAAATTTTAACTAGACAGATGTGAAACAACATTGACAAAAGTCAACATCATTACTTTTATGATCTGTTATTAAGATCATTTCTAATACAGTATGGGGTTGAAAATATAACATCCAAATGAGTTATTTTATGTTCAATATAAAAAAAGTGTTTCTTCTAAGTTGATCCCTATGATAATTCAATTTTTTAATGTAAAGAGATTTGAGGAGATGGTAAATTTTTGCTATAATTTCAATGATGAAATGATTCTACCTTGATTATTATTAAGATGAAATGGATGTCAAGTGATTCTAGGTTTTCAATGATGATCCAAGATCAAATGTTTCATGATTTCAATCAAAAACGTAATGATCTCCACAACTCCATGTGCTCATTAGTGATTAGCTTTGTGAGGGAATTCTCGGAGTTCTAGTGAGAAGCCGTGACTAGTGGAGCTAATCCATGTTAGGTAGAGACAGGTATGGTCGCACAATTTTATGGGTTGGTTGAGATTAGACATTAACACCATTGGATGCCAGGCTCAGTGGTCTAGTGGTTAAGCGCTCTCGCGCGAGACTGATAGGTCCTGGGTTCGAGTTTTACGAGACTATGCACCGCTAAGTAGTCCCATAATAGGACGAACTGGCTATCCAGTGCTTCCAGGTTTTCAATGGTGGTCTAACATCAATTGATTCATGATCTCAATCAAAAAAAATTATCGAGAACGTGGAAGCACTGGACAACTATTCCGTCGTAGTATAGAACTGCTCAGCACTGCACACAGACGACTAGGCAACCGGGAATTAAATCCAGCATTTCTGATCTCAGGCATGAACACTTGACCTCTAGACCACTGAGCCCATATTCAACGATGTGCTAGCATAACTTCAGTCAATTAATGATATTGCGCGATTATCTTCCATTTCCCCAGGTGAATAACTGTCTCGTACCCGACAGTTTTTATTATTAATGTTAAAGTCTTACCAGTAAAGATAACCGTGAGTGATTTTTTTCGAATAAAATATTTTGCATGAGCTACACACTTTTTAACCCGTTGCCACTACATTAGTTCATTAATTTCCCATGTGCTTCCAGGTCATTCTTTTGTCGCTACATATACATTGAGTTGTACCGTTTACATTGTTCTCCTTGAATGGCAAGTT